CTGCGCCCTTGGCCCCGCCGCCGCCGCCTCGCCCTGCGCCCCAGCCGCCGCCCCCGCGCGAGCTCGCCGCCGACTTCATGGCGCGCCCCGGGCGCCCGGGGGGCTGGGGGCGGCCGTCAGGGGTCGCGGTGGCTCGGGGAGGTTGCCGGGGGTCGCGGCGGCCCTGGGTGGTATTCTTTGCGGAGGACGAAGGTTGGTGGCGCTGGTGTCCGCGCGGTTCGCGGCGGCGGGGACGGGCCGGGCCAGCTCTACCGCAGTCCCCGCATCCCCGGAGCGGTCCTTTGACGCAGCGACTGGCGTGGTTGCATCACACCCGCTTGGGCGACCCCGCAGCCCCGGAAGCCCCGCTTCCCTGCCCGCGCGCAGACGCAGCCCACTCCTCGGCAGCCCTTCCCCCTCCCCACCTTCCGCTTTCTCAGGGACCCCTGGCGCTTCCCCTGGGCGGTGGGGACAGGGACGTCTCTGCAGCAGGAAAAGGGAAGACAAACATCAGCTTCAGCCTTGCTGTGCCACTTGCTTGCTTCTCAGGAAGCTTACCTGACTCTGAGGATCTTGTCTGAGTTTGGGCAAGCTTCTTCGTCTGTCTCATCATCCCGTCGGCTAACTGCGCTAAAGGCATTAGCTTTTTGGGTTTTTTTGGGGGGGGGACCGAGTCTCACTCTGTCATCTGGGCTGGAGTACAGTGGCGTCACCATAGTTCACTGTAGCCTCAAGCACCTGGACTCAAGTGATCCTCCTGTCTCAGCCTCCGGAGTAGCTGGGACTACAGGCGCTCACCACGCCCAGCTAATTTTTCTACTTTTTGTAAAGACAGCATCTCCCTTTTGCTTAGGCTGGCCTCAGACTCTTGGACTCAAGCAAACTTTCCGCCTCAGCCTCCCAAAGTGCTAGAATTACAGGCGTGAGACACCGCGCCCAGCCAGCATTAGTTTTTTGTTTGAGTTTCTACATATTTCTTTTGGTCAATTTTTTTATTGAGGTATAGTTTACATACAATGAAATGCACCATTTTTTTTTTTTTTGCTTTCTTTTAAATACCCGTATTGCTGTTAAAGCTTTTGCCCTAGGAGAGTGGCACTGGTCGTCTTAGAAAAGTTTGTTGAGCATGCAAATTGATACGGATATTGTAAGACACTTAAACAATGTATCTATGCTTTGACATAGCTATTCCACTTTGATAGTTTTATTCCAAAGAAGTGATCCTTGCAAGAAGTGATGATTAGAACTAACATAATGAGGGTGGTGATGGCAGTAGTGGTGGTGATCACCGTTGTCATGGAAGTGGTGGTGGGATGAGAAGGAGTGGACTAATCCAAGGGGTATTTAGAAGATGTAATTCACAGGACTTTCCGATACGTTGAATATGGGAAATCAGAAAGAGGAAAATTCAAAGCCAGGGATTGCCAAAGTATAGCAGCTCCCCTGCTGTGGTAAATAGCCTGAAAACTGCAGCTCTAGGCGCTCCCTGCTTAGCTCTGCACTACGACACCAACTGTGCTAAATCCCAGGACCTGTTCGGGGAATGTTGATCAACAAAAAAGTGTTGATTCTTCTGTGTGAATGGGGATACACAGGTCAGTACCCTAAATCCCATAACACAGTTCAGCAGGAGCCAGAATGTCATGTTTATTCTTGAATTCTAGTCTATGCTTCAAAAT